GGTGGTTGCAAGATTGGTCAAATATATCGAACCCATACAGAGATTAATTACTGAAAATAACAGATAAAATATAATAAAGTTTTTTTCTTAAGAAACATTTGATAACTATCTGAGCATTGTAAAGAATATGTATAAATGTATAATGTTATGATATTTAATCTAAACATTTGTTTTCCTGTTATAAACATTTGACAAGTATCTGGTTATACTTAGAACATCTGACAATTGTTTTTTGGTGTTTTATTGTTTTACTTATAATCATAATGTCAAGTATTTTCTTTTCTCTCAGTCTTATATTCAAGTTAATAGTAATATTTACTTGTTAAGTGTACAGTGCCTTACAAATATATTCACCCTCTTGCAAAGTTTCCACATTTTGTTGCCATCTGAGCTTGCAGTCATGACATTTCAAATGGGACTTTATATTTAAAATCTACACAATCTACTCTAAACTGGGAAAGCTAAAAAAACACTTATATTATGTAAGTAAGTTAAGATTTTCAAAGAAAATTAGAATATTCTCAATTGTATGAGTATTCAACCCCTTTGCTATAGCAACCCTAAATCAGTTCAGATGCAAAAGATTAGTTTGAAAGGTCACAAAATTAGTGGAATGGTCTTTGTCTGTGTGTAATAAAAGTGGTTTGACTTGACTTCAGAGTAAATGCATTTGTTCAAGCCACATTTCACATAGTGATATGACAAACCAAGGAGCTTTCCAAAAAAGTCAGGGATAAAGTGGTAGAGAAGCACAGATCAGGAGAAGATTACAAGAGAATTTCAGAGTCGCTGATTATCCCTTTGAGTACAGTGAACTCCATCATTAAGAAGTGGAATGTGCTTCATACCACCCAGTCAGTAACCATATCAGGCTGCCCTTCCAAACTAAGCAGCCAGGCAAGCAGGAAACTGGTTAAGGATGCCATTGTGAAGCCAACAGTGACTTTGAAAGATTTGCAAAGTTCCATATCTGAGATGGGAGTCATTGTTCATATGTTGACAGTATCCTGGTCTCTACACAAACCTAGCCTGTATGGGCAAGTGGCAAGAAAGAAGCCATTGCTGAAAAAGGATCATGTTAAATCTCATATACAGTTTGCGACAAAGCATGTAAACGATACTGTAGACATGTGACAGAAGGTTTTTATGGTCAGACGAGACAAAAATTGAGTTTTTGATCTAAATTCAAAGTGCTACATCTGGCACAAGCCCAACACAGCACATCACCCAGTCAACTGTCAAGCATGGTGGTGGCAGTATCATGTTATGGGGATGTTTCTCATCAGCAGGGACTGGAAGCTTGTCAGGATTGAGGGGAAGATGGATGGTGAAAAGTACAGCCACATCCTAGAGGAAAACTTGCTTGAAAATTCACATTTCAGCAGGACAATGACTTGAAGCACAAGGCCAAAGTCACACTGGAGTAGTTTCAAAAGAAAGTAAATGTCCTGTAGTGGCCAAAAGCCCTAACTTGAATCCAATAGAAAATTTATGGTGAGACTTGAAGATTGCAGTCCATCAACGATTCCCAATGAACTTGTCAGAATTGGAGAAATTTTGCCAGGAAGAATGGGGAACAATTACATCATCCCATTGTGCAAAGCTACTGGAAACCTATACAAAAAGACTCACAGCAGTAATTGTTGGCAGAGGTGCTTCTACCAAGTACTGACTTAAGGAGCTGAATACTTATGTAATCAGCAAATTTCATTTCATATATTTTCTTTGCAGGTTTTGCTGATATTTAGACTTCTTCACACAAAATAGTGTTAAGTTTGGTCATTAGAGTATTCAATGTAAACAAGTTAATTAAAAAAAATTGTTTCCATTATTTGTATTTCATCAATACTCTTGAAGGGAGTAAATACTTTTGTGAGGCACTGTATAATTTATTAGTAATTTTAATAATTATAGCAATATAGGGAATTTGTTCATAACTGAGTGACAGTATGACTTATTTTTACAAATGCAAGGTGAAGGTGAAACATGAATCTCACTATCTGCCAGTAATACCATGACAAAAGTAGAAAATAAACAATGAAGTAACCTTAGTTTCTTAATATTTGACTTGCAGATTTTTAAAATTTAATAGATCAAACAAAATTTAAAACATTTGACACTTGACTAACTTTTAAACTAAACTATTAGCACTCCCACTATTGTACACATGCTTGTAAACATGTAAAACTGGCTGAAATAACAATTTTTTTTTCCATTAAAGGTAAAATTGAAAATACAATTTGTGATATAGAGGCCTAATATATTCTTTGATTTGCTCTGCTGTCTGCTATGAACTGCAATTTTGCCAATTCAAGGCTCATCAGTGCATCTTTGGGGTCAGCAAACCAAATAAATACAGTAATGTCTATTGTAATGATAGTGTGTATATAATATTAATGGAGATTTTTTAGTAATTTTTTTAATTCAGCATTTAATAAGAAAAAGAAAAAAATGTGCAGTATCAAACAGTTGCTTCACTGTATAATCCTGAATAATACATTTTGCACAAGGGCATAATATTATTCATATACCTAAGTTAATTTAGATAACTAAGTGGTGAGTTAAAAGGACTTAAAAAACTCCATAAATATGTTAAGTCTTGAAAAGTATAAAAAGTATTGTTGCAACAGTTGTGACAAGTTATTGAATCTTTTATTGTTTCTAAATGTTAAACAGTGCAGTTGCATTTAGACTGTGATACATTTTCATGTACAAATTTAAGGATTAAAGAAGTAACTTAATTATAAATTATTGTGCCTGTAGTAAAGACAGGATTTCCTCTGGCTTTTTTTTATTTTTTGCATGTAATATATCTTTCATACACACATTTCAAAGTCAATTTTAATTACTAATTGTAACTATATTTGAACAATGTTAACTCAAAAATATTTTAGAATTAATGCTTTGTCATTTTTTGACATTTGTTTGGTGTAATTCATGAAAAATAAAAGTTATTTTAATTTTTGCACAGCTGCAAAGAGTAAACAAACAACTGACTTGCTGATTTATTTTAGAATTTTTTTACCCATCTCAAAGAATGA